GCCCCCAACCCCGTCCTCCAACGTGCTCCTTAGCTACAGCTTCCTCTCTTCACCCCAACTTTTCTTGGGGAATGTCGCTTGGTTCTCCCTTCTCCTAGAAAGAATTATTGAGTAGAGGGCGAGGGGGCCAGAGGACACGTCCCAGGTTACAAATTTTAAAAGTGCACGTGGAATAACCTTAACTGTGGTCTTTGTGGGGACCTGGGTTCTCCTTTCTAGAACAGGCGTCTGGAACTTCAGTTTCCTGAAAATTATGGAGGGACTTGCATTTGCTCATCTCTAGAGAAGTAACTACCGCCCAGTCCGAGTCCTTAAACAATTTAATAGCTGCTGCCTTAGGCCGCAGGCCAGGAGGGCAGATGCATCCAGGAGCCCCACTTTCCCTCCCTGGCTGATGGCCAGGGCTAGGAAATGTGCAGCGGGAAAGGAGGAAATTAGGTTCCTTCCCGCACCCCTCCCTCCTCTTCCTAGCAGGAAGGGGAAAGGCTGCATCCGAGTTACGAAAGCGACAAATGCTGAACCTTTCCAACCCAGGCCCTAAAGAAATAGCTGAGGGGCTCCTCCACCGAAAAATAGGGAGGGATTTAGTGACCCAGAGGAAGGAAGTGGTTCACAATGCTCTCACGGGCGGAAAGGCAGTGGGACAATGGTGAGAACACCGCGGAGGCCGCCAGCGAGCTCACCCTCGCGCGCTCCCTGCCCCTGCCCTTCCCAGTCTGCGTCGCCAGAGTCGGGCCCCATCCCCCACGCGCCCCTCAATTGGCTACCACTGATCCGGGTCCCTTTGCTCCTCCCCACATCTTCCTTATTTAGTGGGCCCTGGCCAGTCCCTAGGAGTCCTCCGGTGCTTCCCAGTATCGCTTCCAAACGTTTGTCAGGATACTTTCTAGCTTATTTCTTCCAGAGTTCTAGGATAGCCTACTTGAAAAACACAAACAAAAACTTTGCATCCCACTCCAAGGAAGACCAAATGAAAACAGAGTGTCAGAAACAAAACGCTCCAGTCTCCAAAAGGGTTAATAACACCCACCCCTCCCGCTTGCCCCATGGGAGGGGGCTGTCTCAAATGTAATTTTACTTTTCAGCAATCACACTTGGGTCAACCCAAGAGTTGGGTATATTTTAGCTGTTCCTTCCGGGGCAGGGTGGGGGGTGTCAAAGAGCAGCCAAGCTATACCATCAACCACAACTATAAGATCTCTGCATTACTGTTTTTTTTTCCTTCAGATATTTTTTCACTTTGTAACACTGATGTCGTGTAACATGCCATCTTTCCTGTAGTCTTGCCTTTGAATCTGTTCTTCACCCCTTTCCAGTTTCTTTTTCAATTTTAATATTGCATCCACAGACATATACTGGCCCATTTATTTCCATGGTGTCCAGCCAATTCTTCCTTCCTCATCAATAAACTAAAAGGATCACTTCACCTTGCATCAGAAGTGGAGTTAACATGCCTCCAGTCTTTGCTAGGCCCAGTTTGGTTGGCAGATATTTTTTTTCAAGTTTCCTTTTTAAAAAAATATTTTATTATTTTTATTTTATGTGTACAAGTGTATTGTCTGCATGTATGTGAGTGCACCAGTGTCATGCAATGCTGTGGAGGCCCTGAGCCACTCTCCAGCCTCATCAAGTTTCCATTTTTTATTACAGTTCTCTAGCATTCCAGTTTGCAAGCTTTCCTTTCCTTTCCTTTTGTTTTTTCTTGCTGGCTACTAGAAAGGTTTGACCCTTAGGAGGACATTTGAAAGCAGACAGTTGACACATATTGACTATGGACTCAGAAAAATATGATGGCAAAGTCACCATGGTGTTTATAAACTCCTACCTTGCTTAGAAGAAATCAGAAAAGAATATATATATATTGGATGATAAGCAGTCAGGCTGGTTTGGACTCAGATTGGCTCAGAGAGTTCAGATATTTAAGGTGGCCTGGAGGCTGAATGACACAGTAGATCAGCTAGGGGATGTGTGATATCCTTGAATCCAGGCAGAAAGGGAAATTCAGAAAACCACCAGAAAACTGTGTAGTTTTAAAACAAGTGTGTAATGTGTTCCAATTCCGTCAACTCTCTTACATAAACTATCTTTTAAAATACATCATTAATTCAAGTTTGGCTTTGAGCTCCCTTCTACATCCAGTGTATTCTTTATTTAAAAATATTTTATTTATTTTTATTTTGTGTATATGAGGGTTTCATCTGCATGTATGTAAGTGTACTACATGCTTGCAATGCCTGACGAGTGCAGAAGAGAGTGTTGGATCACCTGGAACTGGAGTTTCACATGGTTTGTACCTGCCATGTGGTTACTGAGAACTGAACTTGGGTCCTCTCTTAAACACTGATCTATCTGCCCAGCTCCTTCTCTAGTGTGTTCTTATTGGACGGAAGTTTAATTAGAGGAGTACATTTCTATCTCAAGTGGGTTACTTCAAATCCATTATATATATATGTATATATATTTCATGTTTCATGTTCTGTATCCATATAGAGAAATAAAGCTGGCAAAAAAAAAGAAAAAAGAAAAAGCAGTGCGTTACAGGCAAAAAGATTGCCAGGAACATGGCTTTTTTATTCCCCGGTTTCTCTCCAGGTTTCTGTTCTTTTGCATAATGACTCCAATCTGTTGTGCACCTGTAGTTCTGGGAAATGATTCTTTTTTAATCGATTCAGCAGAGACATGGATGTAGGAGCTGCCAGTTGCTAAAGTGAAAAACTCAACTTTAAAAATTTTAAGACAGCATTCATCAGGTGTTTGTGGGCATTTTGCATATAAAGATGTGACATACTTCTGTATTTACAAGCAAAATGTGAATTGAAAAAAAGTTTGAATGACGAAGCAAGAACCTCGGAGCCACATTTGCCATAGCATGAGCGGCAGCAATGAAACACGCAGACCTTGCAGTAAGTTTCATATTCTGACCTCTGTGAAATCCTTGCTGGTTGATGAACACGCACCTAGACATCCCCATGCTTTGCTAGTCCACGTTCCTTGTATTCCTGGCTTTCTCTCTGTAGAGTACATAAGGACTTGCAGAAACATCAGTCGTAATGTATTCTAATGTATAGATTTTCATCATTTCTCACAATTTTCAGAGATGATTTACTTCCCCTCCAAATATTTGACATAAAACATTTTCTCACAATGAAAAGTCTGACCTTTTAAACAAATTCTTGACTTTTCTGAACACAGCAAGCTCCTGAAAAAGAAAAGGCCTTGTGTATTTTAAAGTGAAGGCAGTAAATATGCAAGTGTTCGCTTCTATCTGCACTTTACATGTCTGTGTTTGTCTCACTGATTCATATGTTACAGAAATTCTCATGAAATCTTTATCAAAGAGGGTATTCAGAAAGTACCCTGAGATGAGGAAATATGGTAATCTGGTGGAGCTGTTAGGATTGTTTTAGTGTAAATATTGTCTAGAGCAACTGCTAATGAGCATATTTCATAACCATGGAAAGCTTTTGATTCATGTTTCATACCATACGCTTTGCTAATTAGGAATGGGAAAGCCATTTGGCATTAGTCTTGCTTTAGAGAACATATGTGCACAAGTCACCATTGGACAAATGGACTTGTTCATCCTCATTGAGAAATAAGAAAGAAGACATTTAATCTAAACAGGTTAAAATACCCTTAGAAATTAAATGTGTTGAATGCTGAGAAATTATCATAAACGCCATTTGAATATAAAATTTCTACACCCTCCATCAAACTCATGCATTTACAGATTGGAGGGATGTATAATCTCTGTTATCTACAGAAGTGAGCATCCAAATATTAATTAGTTTGCCCAGAATGTTATAGTGTGGAAATGGGAGGTGGCAAATAAGGAACCCTTGTCATAATTTTTAATTTGACGTCTCTTGTCCTTTTAATGTAGGTGTTCTGTAGGTAAGAATTCTGTCAGACTTGTAACTGATGTTCTTTACGATGATTAAATTTCTTTCGTTTATAAATAGGAATTTTGTAGTAGTAAAAAAAAAATCCACCTTAAAAGATTCCCAGCCTTCAGTTCTTCTTTCTCAGACCACAAGGTGGCGATAGGCTACAACAAATGTGCAACATTAGGATTTTTGTTTTTTTGTTTTGTCTTTCTGTTTTGTTTTTTCTTAATAGTTCAAGTTAGGAATTTGCAAAAGTTTAATGTCTTTTCAGTTACATGTAACAGATTTGTATCAGTTCTTCTACCTTTAA